TCGAATCTCTCCAGTAAGTATTCATCATAGTCCAGCTCTCCACTCGTGACTGCCTCCTGCTGGAAGGGGCTGTCCACTGCATTAATGTTTGCCTTTAAAGCCACAAATTCTTTGTTCGTGGTGACTAGCACTTCCTTCCTTTAGTCCTAGCTTTGCCCATGAAATGCGCTGTGGAATCAGTCATGTTTCTGAAGATGCTGCTCACGTTAGCTCTGGTCCCTCTAGGTCACATACCTCTTTACCCACTAGCCCATTAATGTCACTCTGTGTACCATCCACAGTTGAACTCAATCTCTGGCCATAGACTGGCCTGCAAAGCTGCACGATTCTCCCTCTGTCCTATCTCCACGGATAGATCCTGACAGTGGATCACAGTTTTGTTTTGAAATAGGACACAATGATAGAGAAGGGCATAAAACAGTAAGAACAATCCTATGGATGATCACAAAGCAACAACACCTATGTCACCAGCGCCAAGTCTAGAGGAAGCAGGGGCCCTCTTCTGTGCCCTCTCTTTGGGCACATCTTTGACATTTCAATGTACGATTTGAAGGTTTTTTGGGGGGAGGAGGGCGGTTTGGTATGTATGTGAAGAGGATCAAGCCAAGGGCTTTGAGCATGCTAGGCAAGTGCTGTACCACTGAGCTGCACTCACAATAAACCTTGTGTTTCGTTATCACTTACATATGCATCCCAGTTAGCATTCTAGCTTCCCTGACTTTGGATTTTATATAACTAGAATGCTAGAAATAGGCAATGGTGGTGGATCTGACTTATTTCACTTAATCCTCTATGAAACTCACTCATGTTATCTGTCATTTAGTTCATTTTCATTGCAGAACGCATCCCCTCTGTGTTGAGTACGCTGTGATTTCTCTCCTGTCCACAGTTACATGGGATCTGGGGATTATGAATGAGGCTGCGATACACAGGATGCTTTGGTTTGTATGTCCCGCTGTTTAGGAGGAGAAAACCTCAAGGGCTTCTTCTCCTGTGTGGCTTCTGTTTCATCAGTAATGCCAAGCTATATTTGAAAGTGGTTGTGCCAATGTACACTTTCACCTGGTGTGTGAGATTCTGTGTCTCCACCAGCACTTAGCATTATTAAGCTTTTTGCTTTTAGCTGTTCTGGTGGCTTTTCAGTGGCATTGCACTGTTGTAATTCACATTTCTCCATGACTGAGTCACTGGAACCCAATTTTCTTTCTTTCTTTTTTATGGTGGATGAGAGCTTTGGCATCCACTGCTTGTCTGACTCACCCTGACCTGTGGCCAAGTCCCTGAGAGATGATGTTATTTAGTCATTGATTCCTATTGATTTTTAGTTGGATTTGAATTTCCAGAGCAGGTCCCGGCGTTCTTAATTACAATGACAGTTAATGTTCATTGAGTTCCAGGCACTGTGCTATGTGCTTGGCATGCATACTGTCTCTTAAGAGACAAACACTAGGGTGGGAGACCCTAAATGACTTAGCTACAATCGTAGAATTCAAAAGTGGTGTAATCTAAATGCAAATGAACACCCCCAGCTCCCATAACGTACTGCCTTTGCCAATGTTGGAAACTTGAAAAGGAAACTTTAAATATGGTTAAAACCTGAATAGTATATTAGATGTGTAATTGTCAAAAGAAGAAAAGTGGTTGTATGACAAACGATGAATATCCTAATATGTAGTTTTTTTATAAATTAATAAAATACAGCCATCTGAATTGTAGCCATAGGAGTCTGAAGGTTAGATAAGTCTGAGAATTTTTTATGTTCTTGTAGCCATATAAAGATTTATGTGAACAAACTTACAACTGCACCAAAAACTTACTTTAACGTAGGTTTTTCCCTTTGTTTTTTGTCGGTTATGGGGCTTGAACTCAGGGCCTAGGCACTCCCCCTGAGCTTTTTCACTCAAGGCTAGCACTCTACCACTTTGAGCCACAGCTCCACCTCTGGTTTTCTGGTGGTTAATTGACGATAAGAGTCTCACAGACTTTTCTGCCTGGGGCTTGCTTTGAACTATGATCCTTAGATCTCAGACACCTGAATAGCTAGGACTACAGGAGTGAGCCACCAATGCTTAGCTTTAACAAAATAGACTTTAACATCTTGCATATATATATATATATATATATATATCACAATATATAATACAAACATATAGTTGCATAGAACAACATATAGTGGTACTGAGGAGTGAACTCAGGGTGTTGTACTTGCTAGGTAAATACTCTACCACTTAAGTCATATGCCTTCCCCTTTTTACTTTAGTTATTTTTTTTCAGATAGGGTGTTGTGTTTTTGCCTAGGGCTGACTTTGGACCACAATCCTCCTATTTTTTCCTTCCTTCTATCTGAGATTACAGATGTGAACCACCATGCTTGGCTTGTTCTTAGAACTAACTTTTGCCTGGGCTGGCCTTGAACTTCAGTCTACCTGTGTAGCTGAGATTACTGTCATGAACCACCACACCCAGCCAACACACAGTCATCTTTTGATACCTGAGGGTGCTCATGTCCCTTAAATAAAATGGCATAGATTTTGCATATAACACACATCCTTCAGTGTACTTTCAATCATCTCTGTATTTCTTAAAGTACTGAAGATTTAAAGGCCATGTAAGTAGACTGTTCTACTGTATGGTTTAGGGAATAATAATAAGGAAATGTCTGCACACATTCAGTACAGGAGCGATTACCTCCCTGAGTAATTTAGCTCTGTAGTTGGTTGGATTCACAGATGAGGTCCCCTATATATGGAGGGCCAAGTGCACTTAGAAGCATGGGGTCCCCTGTCACCTCTATGTAAAACTTCCAATTAAGGAAAGGAAATGAATTCTGTCCATAGTTTCTCAGCTTTGACATAACTGCTATTTTGGGCTATATCATCTTGGTGTGGGGTGCTGTCTGATACATTATGGGATGTTTGTCTTTCAGCTAGGTGGAAAGCCAGGTAGACTTCCATCCCAGTCCCAACCAAACTGTCATAAGTACAATGATTTTCAGACATAGCTTACTGCCTCTTGGCGGTGTAGATCTCAGCTGCTTGTCTACCTTGACTTTTTTTTTTTTAATGGGAGCTTTTCCTTATAAGGCTGGTGCTTTACCCCTTGAGCCAAGCCTCCATGTCTTGGGGTTTTTGGTTGGTTAATTAGAGGTAAGAGTCTTCCAGATTTGTCTGCCTGGGTTGTCTTTGAACCAGGATGACGGGCATGAGGCATAGGCACCTGGCTCCCACTTGATTTCTGAAGTGCTCCCACTTCTCCTTGAGATTATAATCCAAGGTCTGCGTACTCCCCAAGCTGTTCGGCATTCCACCATATTTTGATTTCTGTGCCTTGAGAAACCCACTGTCCTTTGTCGTATTGATACAGCTCTTGTCTTTGTCCAGTGACGTGCTGCTCCCTGCTTCCTGTTTCTTCTTTGTCTCCCTGGTATACTGACAATCAGCACAGTTTCAGCAGGCCACTGACTTGTCTGGTCTCATTGAGCTTCCAGAGGCCTTTCTACCGCTCAAAAAAGCTCTTTCCACAAAGCTCATTCTCTCCATACAGCTTCCCATAAGGCCCCCAACAGCACCTCTACTTAAGTAATTATAGGACCATCTTCCCAGTTCCTGCATCTTGGCATAGAGCAGATGCAAATCAACAGACACCAACAGAGGAGTTTGGTATCTTTCAGGATCGGCCAGAGACTTTATCCAAGGCTCCTGGGTGGGCCACGATCCCCTTGCTGCTCTCTGGAGATGTTAGAAGGACCTAACAGGTGCCAGTCACTGTGTGGGCACTAACATGACGTCATTGGCTCAGTCAACTCGTCCAGACTTGTTCCTGAAAATCTTGCTCTGAGCCTTAGAAAAGTCCCTTTCCCTTGATGTCAGCATTTTCTGAAAACCTCAGTTTATTCTAGTTTATGTCATGTTTTTATACTCGGAGACATGCTCCCCTTTCTACATTTTGGGAATCCCTTTGGGCCTGGGTTTCTCAGAGATACTCCCGCTCCCAAGCATTGCATCAGTTTTGGTAAGCTGGCCATTGTTTTTATTTCCTGTTGGGGATTATTTTCAGACCTAGCGACAGAAATCAATGCCTGGGAATCCTCTAAACTTTATCAGAAGGAGCAGTGGCCGGAGAGAAACTGGCCAGCAGCGGGCAACACTTGATGACCATTTAGACATATGATTGGGGAGATGACACATATAGGTTTCTGAGTTGTTTGGTTTGTTTGTTTTTGTGGTTCTGGGGATGGAACCCAGGCCTTCACATGCTGGGCAAGCACTCTACCACAGAGCCATGCCTGAGCCCCCCTTTGGCTTCTGTTTGCAGACAGCTGTGTATGGGGCTCTGGTGGCCAGGACAGAGATCACAGGAGGATGTGGAAGAGTTAGATGAGGAGGAGGAAGAGGCAAGACCACAATGGGCACAGTCTGGGATATTTAGAGGAGTGTTTCCATGGAGACAGGTAGAGAAGTAAAGGAGGTTACTGGGTAGGACTTAGGAGGCCTTTGGTGGGTGGATGGCAGCAGAAGAGACTTCACGGGTGGCACGTGCTGGGGAGCAGCCATGGCTAAGGCAGGAGGAGACATCCTTGCAGGACGCTTTGAAGGAATGCCCAGAGAAAGTGAGGAGAGGAAAGCCAGGAGAGGAGCTTGAACCAGGGGCCAGTGGAGGAAGAGTCTGGGGACAGAAGGATGTCCAGCAGTGCTAAATAATACTGAGACCTCAATTCAGAGTGCAGAAGTGCCCCGCTGCATTAGCCCAACCCAGCAGGTCCCACCTAAAGGACAGAATGTTGCTAAATGACACTTGGGATCAAACAGACACCTTGCTTTGACCACATGACAAGAGCTCAGAGGAAGGAGAGTCGGGGACCCGAGGGAGATGGATTGAACATTCTTTTGGGAGCTCTGTCCTGGGGTACTGTGCTAAGGTGGGCTGATGGGGGCTCGAGGAAGGACAGCAGGTAGTAAGTGTATCCACTGTAACAGAAGACCAAGACCTCCTTTCCATACCTTTCCCATGCCGGCATGGGCGTGTCCCAGCTTGATCACCACGGGGAAGTGCGGGGCTGCAAGCTAGAAGAGACAAGAGAAAATGACTTGTGAGCTTTTCAGAGCTTTGCCAAGGTAGGGGGGTGAGGGGGAGCAATTACCTGTGCTGTAGACAAATCCTGCATCTGCTGTGGCTCAAACTCCCACCCTACAGGCCAGAGCTGTGGCTCCCAGAGGAAGCTCTGAGATATCTGAGAGACCACCAGGCCTGCAGAGATGGTGGAGCAGTACCCAACAGTAGGTTTCAAACCCTGGCAGGGCTACTCCTGAACGGTCACAGACAAGGCGTTACATGAACTTGTACATCTGTTTCCTCACCTCTAATATGGGAAAACAACAGTCATTTCTACCCCTCACAGATTGCTGTGAGCATCACGTGAGTTATCATACACGTGAGCATGCTTCGTTATCCCTTCCTGATCTGCCTTTGCTATTCCCACCAGGAAGAACAGTTCAACTACCTGGAAATGCTCCCCAACTCTTCCTAAGCCTTCTGTGAGCCACATTGGGGGTTTTCTTAATGACTGTAGAGATGCCCCCATCAGCACAGGCATTTGTTGGCTATACCACATGGGCAGGGTGCCGAGTGCTCACCCCATATCTGCCTTGACTGCTTGTTTCCCTATTGTACCACCAGCTTTCTGATCCCAGGATGAGGCTGAATGCCAGATCAGTGCTTTGTTCTGTCCTCTCAGAAAGACCTATAAGACACGTGCACTTGGCCCCATGATATAAAAGATCAGCATTGGGCTTGAAAGACTCACTGTTTGCTGGGTTCACAGATGCTCTATTGAAGAGCCAGGAGCCTAGGATTCACCCCTGAGCGGTGCTTCGTGTCCTTCCTACCACCCCTTTGCTGGAGGAGGTGTGTTTGCTTGGTTCCTGAGTCTATTTTGGTTTGCTTGAGGGCAAACCAAACTCACTCCTTTTTATGGAGTTCTCACCTTGAACTTGACTCTGTTAAATTCCAAGCTCCATGTGAATAGTTTTCTTTATTTCCCTCTCTAAATTTCAGACTAATTTTTTTTTTTTTTACCATACTCTGGTGCCTAATGTGAACACATTTATCTTAAAAATAAAAGAAGCAATATTTGATTTGGATTCCCCAAGCAATAAGCATTCACTATAAAAAAGCTGGAACAAATCCCCATTTTCTTTTGGTTTCTTCTTTCTTGACAAAATTGAGAAAATTATACATATCCCTTCTTTTTTCCCCCTGTTCTTTCCACCTGATGTTATGTGATGAGAATGTTCTTCATGGTTACTGTTGGTTGAAGAGTTATTATAAAACATTTCACATCTAGAGAAAAGTTTTCAAGAACAATGTTGTGGACATTGCCTTAAGAACTACAACATTTGGGCTGGGAAGGTGGCTCAGCGACAGAATGCTTACCTTGCATGCATGAGGCCCTGGGTTCGATTCCTCAGCACCACATAAGCAGAAAAAGCCAGAAGTGGCGCTGTGGCTCAAGAGGTAGAACACTAGCCTTGAGCTGAAGAGCTGAGGGATAGCGCCCAGGCCCAGAGCTACAACATTTCTCAAGTAACTGGCAAGTGGATATTGTTCTTTCTTTGGAGTAACTGCCTTTCCCACCACTCCACAAGCAACCAGTCTTTGGATTCTGTATTTTTCCCCCCTCCATTTATTCACAATTGTACTATTATATATATATATATATATATATATAATTCTCAAGCAATCCTATCAAAGAATCTATTCTCTGTAACTTTATTTTCGCATCTGTGAGATTCATGTACATTGGCCTACATAACTGCTGCATAGTATTCCATTTCTTGTATACATTTCCTGTTGGACACGCTCTTGGACATGTTCTCCCCTGGCTACGTGGGGGGATTTTTCCCTAGGGCACATACATAGAAGCGGAATGGCTGGATTTGAAGAATTACCATCTCAGTTTTGCTAGATGTTACCAAATACTCTTCAAAGTGGTTGAAACAACATGATCTGGAGGGGTAGAGAAAGAAGTGCCAGTGTTTGTGGCTCAGACTTAGATTTTACCAATTTGATCAGTGTAAGGTAGAATCAGGGGGTGGGTCTGCAGGGTGGGGCTTCTGTGATAACTACAATCATCACAGCCAGCCGGCCATGCAGCGTGGACACACTCAGTGGTCCAAGTAGCTAGGGATTAATTGCCATCTCATTAGCAGTACAGCTTGAAGGCAGGGGAGATGGGTCTGCTTCCCCCTTGGTCTCCCCCAGTTGAATCCCATGATGCACTGGTAGGAACGGGAAAGGACATGGATGGTGGAAAGCTTGCATCTTTGCCACTGGCCCTCTGCTTCCTCTTGGGCTAGATAGTTAAGCTCTTGGAACCTCACTTTTAGAATCTGTAGAATGAGGTGGATCACGCTCAACTGCCAGGATTGTTGGGAGAAGAAGAAAGCAGGAATGTAAAACTGCTTAGCACCAGGTAGTACTGGAATCTAATGCATAAAGTACAAGTGAGGGGAGGAGGGACATAACTCTGGCCTTGCGGAGGCAATGGGAGAGAGACGGGAAGAGGAGGCCATGATAACCCAGATCTGATGATGGGAAAAGGGGTGAAGTCTCAACCCAGGAAAACCAGGGGAGTGGCTTATGAGGGATTACAGGCTGACAATTGGAATTGACAAGATCCAGAGCAATAATCCTATGGAGCCCCTTTGCTACTGAGTTGTAGGGGTGTAATTTCTAGGTGGCATTTTCATCTGATGTCATATAATGAGCATTTTATGTTAAATGGTACTGGTGGCCTTAAAATAGAAAGGATGAGTCTAATCTCATCCCAGGAGACTGAGGCAGGCCAGCTAGGCTGAGGTGATGGAGAAATGAGAAAATAGGTCAGAAATTAAGCCAGGTTCAGGTACTGAAATAGAATGGGGAACTAAGGCGGAAACAAAAATCACCAGAATGGACTTGCATTCCTTCCATGACCCTCTCTTCTTGCTTTAGATGTGAAATCACATACAATGACCCTCGATGAGTCATCAAGTCCAAGAATAGAAAGTGCCTGTTTTTAAATTTTTTTATTTAATAAAGCTGTGAATGGGAAGAAAAGAAGACCATAAAGAACAGACATGCATGTCACAAGACCCTTGATCGTAAGGTCAACTCATCTTCTCTGTCTCGGTGATGATATCAAAACAGGATAATTGGGAAGTTGCTAGGTGACCAGAAATCCAGGTGACCAATTCTGATCTTGAACCTCTGAGCCTAATTAGGGAACATAAATCCCTTAGGATGAAGACCACCCATTGAGCCCCCAGCTTGTCAGAATAAGCTCTTTTCTTATACCCGGTTTTATCTTCCTACACTAGATGAATCTCTGCTGGGAGTTGCTATGGACCTCTTGCATGAGCTGAAAATTCATTTTAAATTCATTTCATCTTCATTCCAAATTCTTGGGGTCTCAGTGGGCCTGGAAAATTGAGTAGAGAATTTCCTTTTCTGTATCAGGTACATGTCCTCTTTTCCAACTACCTTTTCACAGCGACAAAACCTTAAAAGCCAAAGTACTTTTGTTCTGGCTGGGCACTGCTGGCTCACACCTGTAATCCTAGCCACTCAAGAGGCTGAGATCTGAGAATCATGGTTTGAAGCTCAGCCAGAGCAGGAAAGTCTGCGAGGCTCTTATCTCCAGTTAACCAACAGAAAACTGAAGTGGAGCTGTGGCTCAGAGTGGTAGAGCTCTAGCCTTGAGCAGAAAAGTTCATGAGTTCAAGCCCCATGACTGACAAAAAAACTACTTTCTCAGGGACTGTAGAGGAGGAAGTTGATAGATTCAAAGCATGAGAAAGACTTGGCATAGCATCCTTGTTTGGAGATGAGGTTGATGTTCATTTCTTCCCCCCAAAATAGTTCTCATCGCTAAATATCACACCACACATAGCAGTCCTTCTTTATGAACAGATACACTTCCAATAGTTTGGATAGCATAGTATTTCATGTACACAGTCACTTCCTAGCAATGGGCAATGGGTATTTGTCTTATTTCTTCTCTTTGTTCTTCTCCACCTCTAAAAAGAAGACTTCATTAGCCCCTTTTTTTGTGTGTATATCCTTAGGAATTAGTGTTCTAATTCCTAGGGCCCAGGTCAAGAGCTTCTCAAAGGGAAACCAACAGAGTTTAGAGATACTGTGGTAGGTTTATTGGTTGTGGTGTGTGTGTGTGTGTGTGTGTGTGTGTGTGTTCCAGACCTGGGGCTTTGTGTGTGTGTGTGTGTGTGTTCCAGACCTGGGGCTTGAACTCAGGCCCTGGATGCTGTCCTTTAGCTTTTTTGCTCATAGATGGTACTCTACCGCTTGAACCACAGCTCCATTTCTGGCTTTTGGGTGGTTAATTGGAGATAAGAGTCTCAGACTTTCCTGCCTTGGCTGACTTTGACTGTGATTCTCAGATTTCAGCCTCCTGAGTAGCCAAGATTATAGATGTGAGGTTGATAGGTTTCTAAAGTCCATTGTTAGAGCTCAAAAAACGAAAGTTCCACAATGCTGCCCACTGGGGTCCACCCCCGCCCCCACCATGATGATTGCCATCCCCCAGGCTGATACCAGTTGTGCTTTCCCAGTGTCCTGTCAGGCCCAGGAATGGCACTAGAAACTCCAGGTGTTCACATTCTTCCCTTCCTTGCATTCCAGGTGAGGAAGCAGAGAGCAGCCATTTGCCTGCGTCTGCACAGGTAAGAGCAGGAGCCACTCCTTCGAGGCCCATGCCTTCTGCCCTTGTTCCCCTCCTTCCTGGCTACTCAAATGGATTCCCGAGGGCCAGTTCCACTTCACCCCTCTGTCACGTGCCAGTCCTTCCCTAAACATGGACAGGTCACGGAGGACAAAAAACATCTTGTTGGCTATTTTCTCTCTTCCCTTCCCAACAATAGTTGTATTTAGTTCCCCTGGGGAAGCGAGCAGGCCCAAGCCCCAATCCCATGCCCCCGGCACTCAGAGTTCAGCACAGCCCCCGCGGCCACAAGTTTGACATCCTGTTAGACTGAAAACAGAGATAGCCACCCCGATAAGGGCCTTA